TTTTTTTTTTTTTTTTCTTGTTTTCTTATGTATAAGTTGTCTGATTTCAATGGAAGCATGTGTGGCCCGATTTCGTATATTATTTCTTCCAAGCTATTCATTCAAGCTGTCAAGTGCATGAGTTTCTGTTTTCTGACCACTTCTTTCACTGTCATTACAGTCATGAAGCCTCGTGTATCTCATGGTCTGTTGCTAGCATCCCAGACAAGCACGCCTCGGCTAACTCCTCCTGGTTCCCCTCCAAGTCTCTCTGCATCTGTTTCGCCTTCAAGGACTCCCAAACCCTCGTCCCCAAGGAGACACTCAATTTCTTTTGCAAACTCAAGAGGATTTTTTGATGATAAATCTTCCGGTTTTTCTTCTGTACCTTCAAGCCAGTTCAGTTCCATGTCGAGTTTGGAGTCAGGATCACAACCAGGTTAGTTACTGTTCAAGAATAGATAGAGCTTAAAATACTGATCAATTTCTTATGTTTTACTTCTTTTTTCTTAGAAAGATATTATATGCTCCAGATTTAGGTTTGACGAGCATTATAGGCTGTTTCCAAAGTCGAGAGATCCTAATGCTTTTCTGCCAAAAAAATTATAGATGATATTTAAACTTTAGCGAGTTCAGTTATAAAAATTGTCATTACTGACTGCTTCCATGAGTGATCACCATACTCTATCTGAAACTCTCTACAATTTTATTTTATGGCATCATATGAGAGGGGATATCTATAACAATCTTTGTTGGTGCATGAATTACTATATTTATTTTCGACAATTGATAGATGGCAGGGGCACTAACAGTTTGCAATAAATTTGTTCTTATGTCAGGGAAAGCCCGAGTTGATGGAAAAGAATTCTTCCGCCAAGTCAGGTAATTTATGCTTCTAATGAAACATTCTGAATATGTGGATGTTATTAGCAGTTACTTTCATGAATATAAGTTCCTCAGAAACTTTATACTTCTCTATGCAAGTTTCTCTCGACTTGTTCCTCAGAAAACTTTTGTCAAGCTATTTGCGTAGAATTTTGCTTCCCTGTTCATGAATTCGGTCCACGACTCTTGCGAATGTACCTCATCTCATATGGATACTTGTTCTTATTGATCAGAACCAGGCTATCATATGAGCAGTTTGGGGCATTTCTAGCAAATGTAAAGGAACTTAACTCCCACAAGCAAACAAAAGAGGTATGTGATTAGACAAGGGTGAATGATAATAGTTTCTTTTGCCATCTTCCCAAATTTTACTATTTATCTAGTCTTCTTGTGACCATTCTGATGAGTTTCTACTTTACTTTTAATGGATCATAATGTGATTATTAATAAATTACAATGTGCATAACATGTGTTGGTGTATGCATAGTTTATACAATGTGTTTTCGAAAAAATGTGAAATGTTGTGTAACTGAACTTTTAAGTAGGATACATCGACACATCTAAGTTCATATAAATGTATTTTTTCCCGTTCATGTGCACGAGGTACGTGAAAAACATAGGCTGTGCATATGAAATGAAGTATTTTAATATAAGTAAATATCTAATGATATGTATAACATCATATAAAATTGATAATTACACCAAAAACTTTTAAAATTTTAAAACTGGGTTTGAAAATGAATAATATAAATATAGAATATTTTACCATAGACTTACCTCTATTGAATAGCTATTATATATATATAATGAATAATATAAGTTTTTTATTTTGATATTATTCTATTTTTAATCATAAAAAATATCAGTCAAATTGTCTAGGAGTTTCAAGTGGGCAATATAGATCTATGACATTGGCATGGATTAATCACTTTTTAGAAATGATTGATGAAATATATTGAACAAAAAAATTGGATAAAAATTTACAGAAGTTATTCAACTTTAAAATAATTCTTACTCTCTCATTCACTCATTATAATATTATGATTTCGCAATCTTAATTATATTTAACTATTCAATTGTATTCTTAATGTAGTCCAATTTATGATATCATGTACACTATCAAGCTAAGAAAGATGAGAAATAGGTTTTATGTCAATTCATTTTTCCTCAAAGATTGACGACCATAACCAACAACCATCTTGCTTTCTTGCCTTAAACATATTGTCAGCAAGAACCTGTTTCGATTGATTTGTTTCGTCTGGCTTGTGTGTAGGAAACCTTACGGAAGGCGGATGAAATTTTTGGCCCTGACAACAAGGACCTTTCTGTCATTTTCGAGGGGTTAATCACGCGTAATGTCCACTGAAAGCTCATGAGAAACACACCGTTTTTTTCAATGTTCTTGGTGAGTGATTCTTTATTGGATGGAACTTCATGTGCATATACACCGAATTTTACAAATAAACTTTTTCGTAAATCCACTGTAGATGTAAATGTTGTTGATTTGAATCAAATTGCAGCACTTAAATCTTTAATAAATGAATGAATGTTTCATAAGCTGGTTGCTATTGTTAATTATTTGTTGACCTTCTTGTAATTACATAATTTTGTTGATTATTTTTTATGAAAATAAGAGACAGGTTCCTTTTTTTTTTTTTTTTTTTTTTTTTTTTTTTTTTTTTTTTTTTTTTT